TTTCCTTCCCGAATATCCAAACATGCCGCGATTCGAAATGATATAAGTTAGTGACAGAGAGTCACTATTATCCTGTTCTCGCATTCGCATTTCTAATTACAATCATCATTCCTGTCGTATATGAAAGAAGGGTAACATTTCTCTTTCGATTTATACATCAAATTATCTTCATCGAAATGTTTTTGTAAGTAGATTTCTTCTGCTTCCTTCTTGTACGGTTTCAGGAAATTGGGGACTCATTTTTGCAAACCTCTCAGTCACCATTTGCACCAATTATCGAGAAACCTATTCATCAGGAATACAACTTTCTGCGAATTTTTTATTTGATTCACTGTTCTTTGGATGATACCCAAACACCTCCTTTTCATCAGATTCACCTCACAAACTTTCAGAAAATCCTGTCAAACCAGTCAACCAAATTTAAAAATTTTTTACTCAAATAATGAGCCCAAAATAATCATTTTAACTTGATTCTCACAATTTACTGGGGACGATTGGAACCAAGATATAACAGGTTTCGTAACTTCTATTTACGAATTATATTCAATTAGTTTCGAATATTCTTCCAAAATTCTATATTCTTTTTGAAAGGGATATATCATAGAACATTTTTCGATAGTCACATTTATGTCTCAATGAAGACACGACAGGTACCCTTACGAGGGAAGAGTATCAACCGTTGGCATCGGTAAACCGGGTAGGATCCTGCTGGGTTAGATATATACAGTGTCTCTCATTCAGGAAAAAATTGTTGGCTATCTGTTCCGTTCATTTTTCGGATAATAAATCAAAATCAAAATGAAATCGAAATATATTTATTTCTACACCCCAAACATGTAATTTATTTTTACATATATCGCGTTTAAGCAACGAAATTTGAAAAATGTTTCACAATATATTGCAAATTCGATATATCTCTCAACTTTTGTAATATAAAAGGAAGGACTCAGGCATAAAACTCATGTGGCCTCGTATGATTCATGACATTCTTGAAATTAATACGAAATACATAATTCTGAACTATTTCATAACTTGAGATATTGCTTGAGAATTTGCTTTCATCAGCTATTCCTTTTTCCTTTTTTATTGTTGCATATTATTCACACTATTGACAGTTTTTCATCATCTAAGGTGACTTTGTGCAGGATCCAACTTAGTCTTAGCTGATAAATCAGAGGTGATTGGTCAGTTCAGAATTGATATCGGAAATCAACCAATCATTACTCTTCATTCTTGAGTAAGCACTAATAATTTACGTCGTGCATGAATTCATCATCACCAAGGTACAAGTTCTTTATCCTTATTCACCCAGGTTGAAAACTTGTTACTTCTCGTTAGAGAAAATCCTTGAATAATGGCGATTCCTCAGGTCAGTAGTGAACAGAATGAATTCATTGAAAATAGTTACATTTTGTAATGGAAAAAGTGTTCATTATTCCAAATTTTTTGGGATTTTCTCTCCTCGTTTCTATAAAATAAAAATATGAATATTATCTCAATATACGTGTAGTAAGGACAAATCAGATGATTTGCCCCAAAATGTCACTGCGTTTAAAGAATTTTCCTATCAGAGAGCCTAAAAGAAAAATTCACTAGCTTGTCAGTGACAATTTGTATTGAAAAAATTTTTGGAGAAGGGAAATAAAGGTATATAGAAAAATATCAAATTTTCACTTATCTTTGGACGTTTCGGGACCGGTTCTGCTCCCGTTTTCAACATGAAAAGAGATTATTTCAATAGCGAAGTCGTATAATGTCTTGAAGCTTTTCAGTTTTCAATGACAATTGGTGACGTTGGCAATCAAATGAGTTACAGGATGTTTTCATTAATTGATCTTGAATTGACCATTTTCATGTTCAGATTTTAGTAGTGAATACCATGTTTTGTCTATATCAACTGAACAAGAAGCAATGCTATTGTCTCCGTTCAGAAGAATGCAAGCAGATTCTTTGATTTTTCTCTTCTGGTTGTTATCTTCTTTTCCAATAATTTTAATATTATTCCACTCTGCCATATGTTGTCCGTCTTCAGTAAGGATATGTTCAGCTAGTTCCGATTTATCGATGTTTTCTTTTCTTTATATTGTACTTATGTTCTTTCGTCCTTACTGAAAGAGGTCTCTTGGTTTCACCTGTATAAAACTTTCCACAAACACAAGGTATACTGTAAATACAATTTTTTGACGATTGTTCTTCATTTTTCGGCTTTGTTTGAGTTAGAATTGATCTCATTGTATTTTCAGTTCTCAACACAGTTTTCACTTGAAATTTATCACGTTTTATTTTTTCAGATATGCCGGGAATGTATGATATTTATTATATTTGTCGTTATTGATGGTTGATTTTGTTGTGGTTGACCCTGTTTGTTTTCAATTTGATGAATCGTCCTATCGACAAAATTTTTTGGATAAGAATTGAGTTGGAGAACATTTTTAATGTGGTGGACTTCGTTATTGAAAATTTGTTGGTCAGATGATATTGATTTGGCTCTAGAGCCTATATACCTTTATTTCCCTTCTCCAAAAATTTTTTCAATACAAATTGTCACTGACAAGCTAGTGAATTTTTCTTTTAGGCTCTCTGATAGGAAAATTCTTTAAACGCAGTGACATTTTGGGGCAAATCATCTGATTTGTCCTTACTACACGTATATTGAGATAATATTCATATTTTTATTTTATAGAAACGAGGAGAGAAAATCCCAAAAAATTTGGAATAATGAATGTACCACCTCCTCGATTAACCTACAGACAGTATTTGGAAAAAGTGTTGTTTATTCCTACACCACTGTGGTGTTGAAGCCCATGTTTCCATTCTCTGAGGGTGAAGAACTAAGAATTGCACAGACCTTTTAGTAAGAGGGGTGCATCTCCCCATTCATATACTATTTATGACTGGTTATATTCCAAGGCAGGACAATATCAAATAATCGTAAGGACCAGCCCACCGACTCAATTACGAAAATAACGACGCTTATGATAATATTGTGATATGTGGTGCTAAACGATACAGGGTGATCCAATATATCTTTCAGTCTTTGATATTCCTGCATCTCAACCTGAAAATTGAGAGTTGGCAACCAGGAAGAGCTAGACCTACACCTTATAGTGGAATCAGAACCACTTCTAGAGCGCTGAGATGCCGTTAGGACTAGAACCACGAATCAAACACTGTTCCCATTCTATTTAAATTGTAGTTCGATTACCTCATCGAACCTCAGTTCATTTAGGCACCTGTGATGAATGCAGTAAAACAAGTGAGGTACGTAGTATTTGAAAGGTATCAGATTTGTATAGATGTAGTTTTCATTAGGTATTAGATTAGTATAGAGGTCAGATAATTTATACGACGCTATAAAAGCAGATGATATTTTATCATTGCTCAGGTAAGATGGAAGTAGAGGCCATGGCACCATATCATGAGCATATTTCCAAATTGAAACTATCATTGGGCACCAAAGATGTGTATACGACGCTATGAAGGTTCAGAGAACTGGAGATACTGTCTTGGTTTTTCCAGACAGTCGAGTGAGCTAGGTACGTAGTGTATGAGAAAATAATCAAGACAGTCGAGTGTGCTTTCTTCACTTTCTTTTGTTTTTGTTTTGTTTTCTATTGGCAAGTGATTATCTAGGAACTTGTAATTTTTTTAGTTTTTTCATCGTATCTCCCGAACTATTGAATTCAGAGAAAAATGTTATAGGGCTTTTTTGTAGATTCTATCGAAAGGAATAATTTTGGTTTTATAATATTTTCAGATATTTTCAGTTGTTTTTGAGATATTTGAAATTATCTGAGAATAAAATTTTCATCACTTTTGTTCCATCTTTCAATCAACAAAAGGAAAAAATGTTTCATGGTTTAGTGGAAGTCGATGAGCTTCATCTATCGATAATCTTTGTTTTTCAATATATCTTCATGATACCCTATAGGTAGTTCAAATTTCTTTTTCATATTTTCTACTTTATTTCCTGTACTATTGGGTTTACAGAAAAAAATATGGGTAATAATTTGTAGGAAATGTTCCAGTGGATAACTGTGCACTTCTGATAATTTTCGATTTTTCCATTTGTTTTCGATATATGTTGAATTGAAAGGATTTCAAATTTTGATGTTTCGATTTTCATTTGTTTTTCCATTTTCCGATGGATGCACGAAAAAATGGTGATATAATAATTTGTTGCGTCATCAAAGAGGCATACGGTGCATTTTTCAAATTTGGATTTAGTCTATTGGTTCAGGAGATATGTCGTTTCAAAGCGAACCGTGTGTTTAGGAAAATCTCCTTGAAAAACCCACTTGGAATTTTCCGACCCTGCTCAATTTCAATAGGCTTCGTCTCTTCCTGATAGAGTTTTTCTTCACAAAAAATGAAATCGATCGGACCACTTTTGCGATTTGTAGAGTGGTTACAAGAAACTCCCGGTGAAAAATCGAAAAAACCCGGAAAAACCACCTCAGAGTTTCCCGATTTCCTTCATATTTTGATGACATGATATTTTTTTGAGTATAATAAGATGGCAAAATTTCAAGCCGATATGTCAAAGGGTTCCGGAGATGTATCGATTTATGATTACCACAGTGTACAGACAGACAGACAGACAGACAGACAGACAGACAGACAGACAGACAGACCACACACAAAAACAAAAGTTGCTCAAAATTCGATGGGGATCATTTTCTCCAAAGTAACTATACCTCTCTCTATCTCGCTTAGTTTCCGAGATGGCATTTTTGGCAAGGCCGTAGTATACTCCACTATAGGTATAGTGTCGTATAATAATACTAGATTGGAATGGTCAACTTTTTTGGAACTTGAGAATATCGCTCAGCGGATAAGAATCTTCAGTTGAAATATTTCGGCTTATACCAGAAATAGGTTATAACACCTTATGATGTTCAGTTATTTTTCGGTAATGTCGAGACTGAGAACTGATCGAATAATATGAGGATTTTTTTTCCTATTGTGAAGAAATGTAGGAACCTCAAATTCACTTTGCATCAGTTTATATAAATATTTGTAATATCCATGATAGTTACAAATAAAGGAGAACTGTTCTCTCTACACATTACGTCATCTAATTTCACGACATCGATTACTCTAATCCAATTTCTTCTGTCCAAATCATCGACATTGCCAATGCTGGCATAGTTTCCTGCAGCAAAAGGGGGAGAGATCCCTAGAGAAAAGTAGGAAACACGAGCACGAGACTAATGTAGACTGATCAGGTGTTGGCTGTATAGATAGCTAACTTTGATGGATCGTCCAATTGTTACGAATTTGTATATGATTAATCGTTTGTGAATATATCCATAACAAAAACGAGCCAAAAAGAAATAAAATTCTGTGAAACATTATTCGAATGTGCACATTCCGAAGGAAATAACTACTCAGATTCAACTGATGATATTGAAAATTGCACAAATCCTTCATTCTGGAATCCTCTTTCTCTGAGGTATTAAATATTTTCTATACAACGAAAAACTTCGGAATTCTTTGCCAAGAGAGTATTACCAAGTACTTATAAACTCCAAGAGTTGAAAGAATCCAATACCTATCTCATATTCCTTTCCTCTCAAGGTAAGCACCATGTTCTTCGAACATTAAAGGGATTCCTTTCCATACGTTTCAAGAGATTGAAACAAATTCAAGTCCATACTCATCCGATGAAATGGTACCTGATGGCTCTGTTTTGAGATATCCCTCCAATGAAGTCTTCGGACGGTTTATTAACATGATAATAAATGGTAGAACGCTCTTTTATTTCAAGCAGGTTCCTGCCCATAAAGACCATTACATAAGATTGATTGTTGAGAGCAAGAAATGTGGGGAATTTGAGGCTCATAACTAAATGAAACACAGTATCACAACAGCATTCTTCATCACGAAACTGAATAACATGAAAAAAAAAACTGAAACATTAGGTATTCCCCTCAAGGGCCTCTATTCGCGGTAGGAGTATGTACAGATCCTCATGACTCACCCTGTATAATGTTGCATTTTTTTTATGAAACTTGGTACAGATCTATTCCAGTAGACGCCGATTCCAGTGGAGCATTCGGATTTTTCCTGAAAAAATCTAATAAGGATTTTGAATTTCTCAGCCTCTGAATGGGATCTAGTAGACCTTGGTTTTCTGAAACAATGGACGCCGCTTGGCTTCAAAATGCACCTCTTTCCTCGCCTCTTTTCTCTTTACATTATAGGTTTGTAGTATAACTAATATATTATTACAGCTCGTTTACTGTCATAGTTGGTAGACAAACGTAGTTAAAAATCAACCAGCCTTCTTCTTCTTTGGTTCTTTGTGTTGTGGCTTCATATTATTTTGATATTATCATTTTACATTATACCTATTCTGCAATGAAGTGATTTTGGTAAGTCGATTATGTAATCACTGTATTCAATATCGAGTTGTAATTCAGTACTAAATTTGGTAATGATTTAACACACTGTATGAAATCATTGCTGAAAATCGTCTCTTTTTCTCAGGACTCTCTCCAATTTTTGGATCATTCAGTACAAAAGAAGTGGATATATTCCCAGGGAGGTTGTATATGACAAGTACCAGAACCATACAAGATTGAGAAAACTTTGAAATATCTCGCCAAGGAGTACCACTGATGTAGTCTTCCCAATTAATAATCATGATGAGGAAAATTCATCAGATGATGGAAATAATGTGATGGTGAGTATTATTCATGAATTCAATCGATTCAATATTGAATTCATATTCCGATTCTACACATTTCTTACAGGAAGAAGATGATAAGCTGTGGTTGCAATTGAATAACGTCCATTGAGTGGCATAGAGGATAAATGGAAGAGTACATTCAAATTACGGAGACGAGAAATCCCAAATGAAGAGAATAATACTGTAGATATTTTGTGTAGTTGGCCACCATTCAACACTCAGATAATAGTAATTTTTTGATAAATAATATAATATCGGTACGTTTTTTAAGTTGGATTATGGACTTCTCCAACTTACTTGAAGAGGAAATAAGTTTTCCACAATGTTACTTGTGTTGAAGAATGTTTATTCTATTTTTCACAGACTTAACATGTCAAAAATTTGATGTAATGAATGAAGTTGATGTTCATTAGAAATCTGTATTAATTCAGTGGTACAAGAACCTGCAAAAAAGTGAATATACCTATACCATGGACGTATTTATACGTCCATGACCTATATCTACTATACACTTTGTTGGTGAACCAAATAGTATGGCTATCTGTACAAAATATTAGTGGAGGGACAAATATAATGGTTAACATACCACTCATTTAGTTGTGAGACTAAAATCTGGTTGATAACAAATTTTCTTGATCAAATCAACAATTCCATTCGTATGGTGACTAAACATATTCAAATATTGTTTGCTGGTTGATATAATTATTAAACCAGATAGGCTCATTTCATATGCTCTTGTTGGTTGATTTCACCCATCAATTTCTTTGAGTGTTGAAAAAACGTGAAAATCGGTTCATAAATAAAAAAATCATGAGGGTGGCTTGCTTTCAAATGGGTCACTCTGTATAACATTCAGGGTCATCATTTCGAAAGGTCACTCTGACCTTGAAGATACAGGTGAAACCGGCGTATACCTTCTACTGATGAAAATTCGACCTCATTAACAGCAGATGGATTCCCTGCTTTTCAAATTACCCAATCTCGAGAGGACCGAACGTTTCCCTATCACATTTTTTGCATGTTCGTCTAACCAAGATTCTCACAAATTGCCGTATCAAGACAGTGATGGATGGATGGCTTTCAGAGAGGCGTGTTTCCGAATCGACTACAAGTCAGGATTAGGCCTCATACAGATCGAATCTTGCTCCAGATCCATCACAATGCCGCTGTCCCTTTTCTCACAGAAAGCTGAGGAAATTCTGTCCAGTCATCTCCTACTTCATCACAAATCATTTCGACCTCTCATTGACTGAAAGTGTCGTTTTATTGATTCCACAAGAATGATGAATTTATATTCACAAATTCATCATTTTTGTGGAATCACAATGACAATGATGGGTATCGGGCCACATCTATAACTTCTGCATTCGTAATCGGATTTTTCTGGAACTCATGTGATGTTCACACTACAAGTATTCTAATCCACATGTTGAGTTTTGCACCAGTCCATCGGATATTATCTTCAGAAGCGTGCGAAATATTCTCGGAAGTATTGATTCTCTGCCACTAACTGAGATCAGCTTGAATCGCGGCACGTTTGGATATTCGCGAAGGCGACATCATCCCCTTTCATTTGCACAGGTGGCACAGGTAGGTTTTTCAAATCTACCAATTTCAATTGGTATCGGATGGCATAATTCTTATATTGTTATCGAATCGCGAAATCATGTGCAAATTTCAGCACAGGAAAGGTCAATTTTGCAATTATTTTGCTCAGGATAGTGATTGCTGGTCGATAAAATACAAAGTTTTCGCATAGCTTTGGAACATATATCATTTTCCAAAAGGAGAAAAAAACAATAAATCAAAGTCGGTCGACCACAGAAATTTAATAAAACCTTCAATGTAACTAGTTTCGGCCACATGGCCATCTTCAGACACAAAAATTATAATGAAGTACCTGAAAAATTCGAACAGTTCTTAATCTAAATAATATGGCAGCAGGGAAAGAACATACCTCTATGGAGAAAACATCTTAAATTTTTTTTTTTTAATAAAAGCACTGGTCAAGTTATCGTTATAAATCAATCCGGTAAAACTAATTATCTTTGTAGCGGCTAAAAAGCCAAAAGAACTTCAAAATAAGTAAGTTTGTCTTCTCCTTGATGCCAAACTTACTTATTTTGAAGTTCTTTTGGCTTTTTAGCCGCTACAAAGATAATTAGTTTTACCGGATTGATTTATAACGATAACTTGACCAGTGCTTTTATTTAAAAAACATTTTAAGATGTTTTCTCCATAGAGGTATGTTCTTTCCCAGCTGCCATATTATTTAGATTAAGAACTGTTCGAATTTTTCAGGTACTTCATTATAATTTTTGTGTCTGAAGATGGCCGTGTGGCCGAAACTAGTTACATTGAAGGTTTTATTAAATTTTGTGGTCGACCGACTTTGAGTTATTGTTTTCTTCTCCTTATGAAATATACTGGACCACTTTGAGAATGGATGGTTTCCATGACATATATCATTTTGTTTAGTGATTCACACGAGACCAACGAGACGAGACTTTCATAAAGTATCGTCTCGTCTCGCCGATGAAATATGAAGTCTTGTCTCGAGTCTCGTACGAGAGTCTAGCAAATTCCAGTCTAGTACGAGATATTTACGTTTACCTACTTTTTAGGTATTATGTAGAAGTAGGAAGAGAAAATTACAACAAAAATAACATTATTTATTGAAAAGTAAGTACCTGATAGGTACATTATATCATACATCTAAACAAGAAAAAAAACATAGCATTATATATTCGAAAGTTATGAAATAGAATAAATAGTAACACGTATATTCTAAACAAATAAACAAAACAAAAACTTGAATACAACATTATTTTACTCATTTAAGAAATAGGTATCTAAGAAAACTTTTATCAGTCAGATCAGCCATCACGATCACAAATGTTTTTGTTCTTCACCCAGTCATTCAATTTGCGATCTGTCGTTATTGCAGAATTGCCTTGATATTTCGCCGCAGTCTGTTTTCGTTTCACGCATTACGTCGTTTTACAACAATCATGGATTGTGTTTTTAAAGCATTCATGAATGAAATGTTTTGGGTATCTGTGCTAAATAGTCTGAATTCTTTCTAAATATGTTGTATTATGATTGAACGATACCAACAAAAGTCTCGTCTCGTCACGTCTTGTCCGAGTCTCGTCTCGAGTCTTGTTACGAAAACGAGACGAGACCATGCGAGACTCTTCAAAACGAGACTCTCGCGGGCACCACTAATTTTGTTATGCTCAGGATAGTGATAGGTACAGGTGCCGTTCGATAAACTACAATGGTTATTCAACTATAGAACATGGTATTCACTACTGAAAACTGAAAATGAAAATGGTAAATTCAATTAATGAAAACATCCTGTAATTCATTTGTAGACTCAAATCACTCATTCATATGCCAACATCAGTATGACACTGAAAAGTGTCAACTGGATTTTTCTTTTAGCCTCCCTGATGGACAAATTTGTTAAACGCATTGATAAATATATTGAAATAATACACATATTTTAATTTTATGGAAACAAGGAGAGAAAATCCCAGATAATCTAGTAAAATGAATGTACCACCTCCTCGATTAACCTACACACATTATTTAACAAATAATATTGTCAATCGAATGGTAAACATCGAGGTGAAATTACTCTAATTCATTACCACAACGTTCAATATAATCAAATTATAAAAAGTATAAAAGATGTCAATCCAAAAACGCGAGAGTTTAGCACTACACGACAACTGAAATAGTTTGCATGATGTGAAAAATTCCGATCGGTGATATAAATTTTTTTTTAAATTCCCATTATCTGATTCAGTAAAGCATAAAAAAAAATTTGGGTAGGTATGCAGTTTGTGGTTTTATGAGCAAAGAAAGTAATGTATGGTGCGACAACATATGAGACAAGTTCACAAATCACCAGGAGAATACAAATATTTGTAACCCTTCCATATAAGTACTTCACTTGAATATAATGTGAACATTTTCGTCCATCAAATTCACGAAACCACAGAACCAACTACTGAATAGCCACAATGCTCAAAGTGGAATGAAATGTTAAATAAATACAAAAAAACTCAAAAGTCATTTCCACACAATGTTCATAAAATGAGTAGAGTAGAGTAGAGTAGAGTAGATTTATTTGATCACGTTACAATTGAGATGTTTGTGACAAGTCATATGATTTCGGTAGAACTAAATAGAACTTATATTATTATAAAATGAGCAGTAAAACATTATACAGATTAAAAATTTCAAGGACACAGGTTCGTTAGTTTAAAAACAAGATTTTAAAAAACTTTACTTTAGATTTAACACACAGAGACAAGTATTTATATAGACAGTATAATTCAAAACAATACAAAATGTTTTCACCCTAGCACTTCACTGGCAGATATATATTCTTCGATATTATAAAAACAATTTTTTGTTAGGAACTCTTTGATGTAAGTCTTAAATTGACCGATCGCCATGCACCTCACTGTATCAGGAAGGACATTATATAGATTATAATTTAGAGAGTTTTTCTTGCTGACATCAAGTCTAAACCTTTGAGGTCTGACCATTGATGCATTACGGGTGTTATAGCGGTGGATATCTGACTGCAGACAAAGAGAATCTTTTTGACTATGAATTTGAATCAATGTGTTAAATATGAAGATTGCCGGGAGTGGCATTATGTCCAATTTCGTGAAGAGAGGACGACAGTGTTCACGGGGACCAACTTTGGATAAAATTCTTATTGCCTTTTTTTGGAGCCTAAAGACTTTTATGGAATCAGTGGAGTCCCCCCATAGGACAGTGCCATAGGAGATGACTGTGTGAAAAAGTGAAAAGTATGCCGTTCTTTGAATTTCTAGACTTGTCAGCCTACTGAGTTGTCTAAGTAAAAAAAGCACACTGGCTAGTTTCCTCTGAATAAAATCGATGTGGTTGCGCCATGAAAGTTTAGTATCAAGTACAATTCCCAGAAAATTTGCATTTGCAGTAATTTGGAGCATTGTGTTTGTTGAAAAAATTAGTTTTTGTGTTTTCTGTTCATTTAAAGAAAGTTTATTCATTGAAAACCATGTTTCAGCTTTCCTCATGAGATTGTCTTGATCAATTATCAGAGAATTGTAGGAGTTATGGCGATTTATCAAGGTAGTGTCGTCCGCAAAGAGAATGCAGTTATTTTGGGGTTAGACAAAATCACAGAGATCATTTATATAGACTAAAAACAGGAGTGGACCCAAAACTGAGCCTTGGGGCACCCCATGCTTGATAGGGATAGTTTCAGAGCTGGTATTATTTGCCCAGACATATTGACATCTGTTTCCTAAGTATGATTTTATCAATGAAAGAGGTGTCCCCCTGACTCCATAGTAGTTGAGTTTCTCGATCAAAATATCGTGAGAGACACAGTCGAAGGCCTTGGTGAGATCACACAATGTGACAGATGTGTGATAACCACTTTCCAGGCCCTCGACTATATCGCTCACTAATTTCTGCATTGCCTGTATGGTGCCTCTCTTCGGACGGAAACCAAATTGATTTTCATTCAAGTAAAACTTAGCTTCAAAATATTTCAATAGTCTAGCCTTCAGTAATTTCTCAATTATTTTGGAAAATATTGAAACTATACTGATTGGTCTATAATTGTCTGGTGCAGACATATCTCCTTTCCTTTTGAAGATAGGAATAACTTTTGATAGTTTAAATACATTTGGAAATTGGCCAGTGGAAAACATGAGATTTATTAAGGATGTTATTGGTCCCACTAAAATATCTGAGGATTCTTTAATAATACCACTATGCAGGCTATGGCAATCAGTTGACCTGGAATTTTTCAAATTATGGATTACTGCATATACCTCTGCTTCGTCCACAGGTTCCAGGAAGAATGAGTTACATGGTGCTGGAAAGTTTTTGAAATTGTTTAATTGGTTCACATCCAAGGTTGGTAGTGTTTTGATAATGTTTTCTGCTACATTTCCAAAAAACTGATTAAACTGGTCTGGGGATATGTCAGAAATCTTGTTACTTTTTTTTTTCATTTTATTGCGCTCTTGGTTTATGATTTCCCAAGATGCTTTGGAGAAATTTTCGGATTTTATTAGGTAGTCATCATGGGCCTGTTTTTTTGCTTTTATAATTTCTAATCTATAATTCCGCTTCAGAATTTTATAGATTTCAAGATACATAGGATTACCACTTACTTGTCCTACATGTTGGTATTTTTCCAGATTATCTCTCTGTTTTTTGAGGTTATCATTAAACCACTTAATTTTGGGGCCAGGTTGGCTCTTATTGACCTTTGTATGAAGAGGAAATGCTTGTTTCGCAAGAGTTTCATATGTGGTGACCATGTGGGTGGCAATGCAATCCACTGATCGCTCTTCCTCATCAGAGAAAGACCAGTCCACCTCCATCAAATTGTTCCTTAGGTTGGCCATACCTGTCTTAGTGAATTTTCTGTATGATTCATTTGTATGTTTTTGAGTTTTCTTCATTTTTATAAAGATGAATTGACCCATGTGATCAGAGAGATTTGGTTCCATGACTCCAGAGTCTACAGAAATATTGTCTAGATTTGATACAATGTTATCCAGACAAGTTGATGAATAATGGGTTATTCTAGTAGGTTCAGATATCAAACTGTTGAGACCAAATGAATCAAACAGATACTTCAAATTATCTAATTCTTGTGAACTTTCTAGAAAATCAATGTTGAAGTCACCACATATCAGGATGTTTTTGTTTGTTTTGCAAAGTTTATGAAGTAGACTCTCAAGGCTGTCATAGAATAGTTTAAATATACCTTTACCTGTTCTGTAGAAAGTTATAAGTGTGGTATTGATGGATGGTAAAAATATTCCACAGAATTCACAATTCAACTCACATGTGAATCCATCGAGGTTGATAGGTTTATGATCAATATGGTCTTTGATGAATATAGCTGAGCCACCATGCTGGCGGTGTTCCCTACAAAAATAAGATGCTAAATTATAACCCTCTAGATTGGTCAATTTAAGACTATCATCTCTAAGCCAATGTTCTGACACACACAGGACATCAAACCTGTATTTATCCAAGAATAACTCTAACTGCTCTTTCTTGTTCGAAATGCATTGTATATTAATGTGGAATAAACCAAAACATTTACTGAAGTCTCTGTCACTTTCAACCGAGGATCCAACTTCTCTATTCACAATTGTGGAAGCCTCCTCTTCGCAAAAAATTTGGACACTATTGCACCTTTTGGCCAAATTTCTCGCCTCCAAGCGTTTTTAAAGTTATCTCTATTGATGATAACTTTCATGGAACTGTAAATTTCAGGGAATTTCGAGTTGTGGAGCTCACATTGTACTTCTGGAAAGGTTTTCTCTAGAGCCTTCTTCATTTCTTCTGGCGTCGTGTGTGGTTTCAGTCGGGTGACATGTAGTGAGACTGATGCGGGGATTGTCTCCACTGTTTTGTCCTCCTCGTTACCACCTACAAGGTACTGCCGTTTTCGTCTTTGCCCTCTGCTTTTTTGGGTTTGCCACCCAGTTTCATCCTCTGGGGCCATATTCTGGTCAGTCAGTTGTTGGATTTCTGTTATTTTCTGCTTCTCCACAGCTCCCAGAATCGCTTGACTAACCTCGTTTGGGTGAAAAGTATGTTTATTTTTTGTTGATAATGTTTGTTGTTGTTGACGGTAATCCTGTCTTCCATGAAGACTTTCATTTTTCTGTCTATTGTTTGCGTTGACGTTTTCCGTTGACATAGTTGTCAACGTAGATGTAGGAATAACAGGTGTGTTCGGTTTCCCTGCACTGGTGTACGTTTTGTTGGTCTGTTGCAAACCCGAATTTGTGGTTCCATGGCTTGCCTCAGAATCCATCCGTGGTTTTGATGTTCCATTGTCAGCGAGCTCGCACCAATCGGTCCGTTGTTTCATGGAGTTTTCTGCTTTCAAGGTTGTTGATGTTGATGCTGAACTGGCGCTTTTTTGCTGATTTTTTTCTTGGCCTACCTTGTTATAGGATTGCACGGTTTTTTCTAGAGATTCTATTATTGTTTTCAGATACACTGCATTTTCTTGTAGTAATTTGTTATTATCCATGAGGATCTTGAATTTTTCTTCCTGCTCCAGGATAATTCTCTTCAGCAGATTTATTTCTTGATGTGAGTGCTCACCATGGCCTATGGGTTCATTTACATCGTTGCTGTCCGGAACTTCCTTCGGCACGTGCACGCAGGATGCATTTTTGGCCTCGCCGGATTGCACAAAACATGCTGGATGATAATCAAAGTCGCACTTGGCACATTTAATGAACTTCACAACAACTTTTTTACAATGCGAACATTTTATTCTGTCCGTTTTCTCGCTTTTATTGACGAGCTCTGAGTCGACATTATGCTCGCCCGCCATCTTGAAAATGAACAACAATAGTAGAGATATATTAGAAATATAATAGATTAGAAATCTACCACTGAATACGTTGATTCTTGGATAAGTTTTGGTGGTTATTTCACAATAAAACAGATTTGGAATAATCAATACTTGTGAATTATTATTTCGACTCTTCTTGTACCAGTTCAGAAACAAAAACGAAACAAGTGGAACACAGTGTATTTCACTTTTCTATCTTTACCTTTAGAAATAGGTAAAATAAAGAAATTACGGGGGGAAGGGGGCGACGGACCCCACTGTATAAATGAAAATATGACTATTATCTTGGTAAGTATATGTGTAGACAGGACAAATCAGGAGATTTGTCCCAAATTGTCCCTGGGTTTGGGAAAATCACAAGAAATCTGGTAAAATGGTAAATGTATATTGTTAACATAGGCAAGAGGTTATTTAGGTACACCCATTCCACTAACTAATTCGACTTCGAGCTCTTCTCTTATATACCCTGTCAAATACAGTTATGTTGAATTACTGTAACGTTGAAACAGTTCAATCCGTTCTGCTGCAATGAAAATCCAATGAAATCAGAAACATTCACCTTAAAATTCGCCAATGAACATGATATATAGGGCATATAATGAACTAAACATAAATCAATTATTTTGCCAGGAGATCTCACAAAGATACAAGCAAGAGACATCTGCAGCTATATTAAAGTTTCATCAAGTGATAAAGTACCACAAGCCATAACTGACATAAAACGGTCCCTCCTCTTTCAACATCAGACGGTAATGCCTTAATGTCATTAGAGGGTATTAGTAGATTATGCCGTTTATTTAGTGTTGCAAAGCAATCTTATTGCCAATTTGGAATGTTTGCGAAGGACTCTTTCCGATGTTGAGCCAACTGTAAACAGTTATTTTCTTGCAGATATTAAATTGGATGCAGTCCCTAGAGGAATTAGAAAGGATAACTTATCGTCGCCTGTTTCCTCATTGGTTATTAGTATAATACCAATATTTCGCCACGACAGTAGTGCTTTTCGATAAAATACAGTGTGTCTGTATTCTAACTGAAGTCGAATCAAAATTAACAAGTCCAATTCAAACTCTACTAGTCAGTATATTATTTTAGTTAGAGAATTTGTTCTTCTCCACTGTTTGTTGAACTGTAGAAACTAAGGAAATATATGAATAAATAAAATCTATACTATGCACCTAGTGAAAGAAATAATCTTTGGATAACTAGTGAAATAATTCATGAGGGAAAATCAATAAGGCATATGTTTTGGCAATGGAAGACTGGAGTAAATGTGGATTTTGATATTTATAAGAATAGGCTCAAGGAACATAAAAGAAACACTCGGATAACAAAACAAAAATACTTTAATAATAAAATTAACAGGTCTGAAAATCGTTCTAGGGAGACGTGGAAAATAGTGAACTGCTCTAAGCTAAATAAAGATAAAAAGCATGAATCAATTATTGTTCTTAAAGCTGCAGGCAAAAAAATCATTAGTCAAACTGAGGTGGCAAATCATTTTGCCTCTCATTTCTCCAAAGTGGTACCTGAAAATATATTAAACCATTTTGGCCAGAACTTATGCTTACCTCTTACTATTACTGTAAGTAGTCAGGTCTCAATATTCTTCCCTAAAATAACTGGAGCAGAATTATTTGACGCCTTACATAGTCTTGTAAATAAAAAATCAGCTGGGGCAGATGGACTTACTGTGAGTATTATGAAGAGTATTATTCCCAATATAATCCAACCATTACTTTTTCCTGATGAATTGGAAATTGCAACTGTAATACCAGTTTACAAAAAAGGATCTAAGAACGATATTGAGAACTATCGGCAGATATCATTACTGAGTGTAATTTCCAAACTATTTGAAAAATGTCTTGCCACAAGGATCATGTCCTATCTAGAGAAATATGATTTGCTAACTAATCAACAGCATAGCTTCAGAAGTAGCCGATCAGTTGAAAGTGCATCGGTTATGCTATTCAATAATATATACTCTGAGGTTGATAAAGGTAAGTATGTAGTGTCCATAATGCTTGATTTATCCAAAGCCTTTGACAGTCTTGACAAAAATATTCTCTTACTCAAGCTTGAACATATGGGTATAAGAGGGTTCATACTAGGTTGCTTAAAATCCTACATGGAAAATAGAAAATTATCTGTTAAGTATAATCAGTACTCTCAACAGAACCAGCATTCATTTTCCTCTTTTAACCAGCAGTGCCCTTCAAGGACTAACTATACCAAATTTATTTTTACTCAAGCTGACATATGAGTTTTATATTTCGTGTTTATATGTATTCAGTAATATCTTAGGCTATCTGAGACCTTGAAGATTATCCCAGATGTCTGATCTGTGTTCAACTGATGCTGATCCCGCAGAAAGTTTCTGGCCACACGAAGGATTTTCGAGCGTTTCTCCTAGCGATTTAGTCCGCTACTCCTTTCCCTCTACTCCAGAATGTCCTGGAACCCTCTGAAGGGTGACTCTTTTGTTGATTGGCTAGCTCGTTCACGATTTCCCGGCTTTCTCTAATCACTTCAGAGCTGAAACATAACAAGTTCTTGCCTGGATTGAACTGTATAAATCAACGTGACCTTTCCCCTGGAGTATGTTTAGGAATTCGCCTAGGCTCTCGAAGTACTTTACTATTCCAGTTCCATCTTCGGTTTTTGAAACCATGAAAGATTATAGATCAGAGGCATTCTGCTCAATTCTCGATGGTATCTGGATCACAGAGAACAACTTCATGGCTTCAATACCCGATAAAATGTCATCGATAAATATTCCATCCCCATTGGGAAGAGTCAACAAGGCGTAAAACATCAGCACTCCGGGAAACCAACACTGATGAAGATGATGAAGTGCGACACAAGTTGTCCTGGAACCCACTGGAGGGTGACTTTTTTGTTGTTGGCCAGCTCGTTCAGGATTTCCTGGCTTTCTCTAACCATATTGAAGCTAAAAAACTTCTGGCTCAACACTTCAATGGCTACTCGATAGTCATAACAAGTATTTTCCTAGATTGAACTGTATACCTCAACGTGACCTTTCCCCTGGAGTATGTTTAGGAATTTGCCAAGGCTCTCGAAGTACTTTACTATTCCAGTTCCATCTTCGGTTTTTGAAACCATGAAATATTATAGATCAGAGGCATTCTGCTCAATTCTTGATGGTATCTGGATCACAGAGAACAACTTCATGGCTTCAATACCCGATAAAATGTCATCGATAAATATTCCATCCCCATCTGGAAGAGTCAACAAGGCGTAAAACATCAGCACTCCGGGAAACCAACACTGATGAAGATGATGGAGTGCGACACAAGTTGTCCTGGAACCCACTGGAGGGTGACTTTTTCGTTGTTGGCCAGCTCGTTCAGGATTTCCTGGCTTTCTCTAACCATATTGAAGCTAAAAAATTTCTTGCTCAATACTTCAATGGCTACTCGATAGTCATAACAAGTATTTTCCTAGATTGAACTGTATACCTCAACGTGACCTTTCCCCTGGAGTATGTTTAGGAATTCGCCAAGGCTCTCGAAGTACTTCACTATTCCAGTTCCATCTTCGGTTTCTGAAACCATGAAATATTATAGATCAGAGGCATTCTGCTCAATTCTTGATGGTATCTGGATCACAGAGAACAACTTCATGGCTTCAATACCCGATAAAATGTCATCGATAAATATTCCATCCCCATCTGGAAGAGTCAACAAGGCGTAAAACATCAGCACTCCGGGAAACCAACACTGATGAAGATGATGAAGTGCGACACAAGTTCCGGTGCAGGCGGATATTTCAATGAATTCCCCATAACTTCCGGTCGAATGAAACTAAAAGTGCGGCCCTTTGTTGGGCCCGCGTGCGTCAAGTCAATTGGGCGTACGAGCCCTACGACCGCGGATCAGCGATATTGGCTTTGTTAGCCAGGACGAAGGGACTATAAGGAATCCGATGAAAAAGAGGGATAATTCACCAAGCAAACCATGTTAATTTAATGGGCATGGAAATTTTTCTTGCCGGCTCAATACGTTTTATCTCGAATGGCTTGGTCCCAATTAAGGCGAATTCTTTCTGTACCTATGCGAATATATTTACTTAACGTCAGTAAAATCCATACACCCTTTTCAAAGTAGTCAAATATTTTTAACTTGCACACAAGAGCTTCTTTGTCGAAGTAACAATAACATGTCAATGATAATTTTGATGCCTGATAATTGAATTTCCTGACGGCAACAACATTTCAATAAAAAATGTCCTAGGTAGCACGGACCTCTCCGCGATATCTCTAAGAAGTCATCTTCAGGATTATAATGCGAAATCCTTCAATGTGCCAAAGATCACTATAGGCTCTCACGATGGAAAATACTCTTTCTATTTGTCCGAAAGAAATCGCGACGATCTCGCCTTAGATTTGAAATATTCCTCATCATTGCGAATTCCTGTGACTGAACTTCGCCTGTCTATGATTCAATTCACTGAAAACAAAAACTCCTCTTCACCTCCATGAGAAACTTGCATTCAGAACAGATGTACATAACCTGAATATTCGACGACAAACTCTCATAAGTATACCCAAACTATCGTCCTGTTCAAATGCAGCTTTACATATGCTTCAGCTGTCTGTATCAATGATATCTTCAAATTCTTCAAAATTCTTCCTCTCTCTCTATCTATCTCTCTCTGTCTCTCCATATCTTTCTCCTCTTTTGTAAATTGCATATATATGTTGATATTTATATATATCTCGAATAGTGAAGTCAAATTATTAAATAAAGGTGTCGGTGGAAGAACAGATTTGGCTGTTGCTGAAAGCTGAACCGAAAACCTATATTACCTTCATGATTATTGTAAGTATGTATGCCATGTAATACATTTTGATGGGTAATTAAAGTATTATTATTATTATCATTATTATTATTATTATAATTATTATTATCTCAAACAGGAGATGAATAAGCATTCCCTTCTGTGAGAACCCAAGGTTA